ATCTAGGTGCGTTCCATTCGCCAGGGTCCCTACGCAGTGTTCACTGCTCCCTACTCCCTGAACATGGTATGAAAACACTCCTGCCCTTCTATTCCCTTTTCAACTCCATTTTGCTCTTTCCATGATACTTTGCCACCTGACCACGCCCACCTCACCTGTTGTCTATAAGTTGATTCTGAACCCTTTGGTTCATTCTTTGAACTTTCTCCTGGCACCATGGATGCATAGCTGTGTGCGTCTTTATGAATTACGTGAGTTCATTTATTAGTTGATTGTGTTTTCTCTCTTTAAGCTTTTTTTTATGATTTACTGCCACTCTGTCAACATGTGCACTGTTGATTGATTGGTTTGTTTGCCACACATGTGCCTTGAGCCATGTGTAAAGATTGTTTTATATATATATATATATATATATATATATATATATATATATATGTTACAGCCTGTTTTATTATGATTAGTACACTCACATTTTTGTTGTTCATTTATATAATTGTCTAATAGGTGTTAATCACTGTCACTAATTGTATTATCTCTTTGTTATTTCTTTATGCAGCACACAGACAATGCATTGACCTCAAGTCAATAAGCATGAGGCAATAATAAATACTACTGGTGTTGAAAACAAAAGCCTTTGCCTTCTCTCTACCTCATTCACCGTCCCTTACCATTTGATGTCTTTTGACTGAGACTCTGTTTGCTCACCCAACCTTACTCTACCTGAACCATTCCCATAAACCTACAGTTCTTACACGGTATATCAGTTGAAGTGGACTTCACTAACTTCCTGTGAAGTGATGTATCGATGTTCCCTTATTCCCTATGCCGTTTGCAGTGCCCTTCGAACTGAACATGTTCGTTCCCTTCGAACTGGAATCTCACTTAAGATGGCAAAATACCCTGTGAAGTCCACTTCGCAGTCCACTTATGGTCGAATGGAACGCACCTCATGTTTAATTTGGACTTCTCTGTGCATGCTCTTTGAGGTGGTGACCATAGACCTCCATTATATGACTGACAGACAAGAACGGTTTGACCTAAAAATATCAAAATTTAAACCACTGTGGAAACAAAGACACCTACATCTTGGATGCCCTTGAGGTAAGATAAAACATACCAAAAATCAAAGTTTTAAAAGTTTCTATTGTCATTAGCGCGTCACCGTAACCTTGAGTTTTGCTAGTGATTAACATTATGGCACAAATGCTGTTTGTTTAACTTGTTTTGAATATTCCTTTAATAAAACAAGAATATGTGAAACACAAGACAAATGATCTCTACTCACCATAGACTGAAACATTGAATGTTTTTGATGATTTTTTCGCTCCAGTTATCTCTAGTTTATAAACTCCAGTGTGTTCAGTTGTGGTGTGTGTGATGGTCAGAGATCCAGTTTGATCGTCCAGCTTCAGTCTGTCTCTGAATCTCCCATCAGTAACATTATCAAATGTGGAGAAGATTTGCTTCTTTTTTTTTATTTTAGCTAATAGAGAGTTTCCAGGTCCAAATATCCACAGTATATCATCATCTTCAGGTATTTCAGTAACACCAGTGTTTAGAGTAACAGAATCTCCCTCCATCACTGACACTGAATCACCAAACACACCTGATGAACACACAGATTTACACAGATGAATGTTTCTGAAGGTTTACAAAGCCGATCAGAGTAGCTGTAGATTTTGAGATCATTCAATGTTTGTCGCATCACTTAATATTAAACACAGATTAACAAATCAGGGATTATAAATCTAACCTGGGATTTAAATTAATCTACAGTTTATTTTGTCCACCATGACGGATTCGTCATTGCAAATAAACAATGTTTATAATATTAACAAATATTAACAATGTATACAATGTAATATTAATATCAACCATGTTAATAATCAATTTCCTTTTTTACTGACTACCAGAAACGTCTCACTGACATCTCTTGCAGAAAAGAAAAATAAATGTGTAAAAGTCTTTATAAACCACTTTCTTTAAGGGGGAGATCGTCAGAATCACGCAGACAGAAAACATTGCTAAAAAATTGAAAAATAATAATAATAATTTTGAAAAAAAGGACAATTACCAGATTGTTCTGCCCAGATTAAGAACAGTGTCCCCTTCATAGCGTGTTTGATCCTTATTATTGATTTCACAAATGTAAATTTAAAACAAGCACATAACCAAACTACATCTGATTTTCACAATAAATATTCCAGGTTATTATTGCATTAAGAAAATAATTCATTATTAACCCAGATATGAACTCAACAGGTTTCTAAAAACAGCATTTGAACCTTTTTACTGAGCATGTGGCAGTCTGTATTTTAGTTGAAAAAAATAAATAAATGCATATATATATATATATATATATTTTTTTTTTTTTTTAATAACTCACCAGTCAGACTCCTGTAGCAAAAACAGAACAAAACAAACATGTGAAACATATCTCCAGTAGTTCAGTGTATGATGAAACTTTCCACTGAAACACTCAGTCTATGTGTGTGTGTGTGTGTGTGTGTGTGTCAGTCTATATGTGTGTATCCTCCCACGACACGGCTTGACCCTCCTTTCTCTCGCTGCATTTGAACATCATATAATGTTATAGTTCATCTGGCCCTTATAAGACTTTAACTCTTTGAAAAGAAGTTGTATGACTGTGTTAAATGGCAAAAGAAGAATATCTAGTGAACTCTATAAATTCGAGTGATTTAAGATGGTTATGTATATTTATTCAGTTCTCAATTTTAGTGTATTTAAAAATGAAGTAAAAAGTTAAAAGTGTGTGTGATCCCAGTAGCAGTTGTATTGAAGTTCATCTTCTGAGTCAAACTGAAACCATGAGTGGTGTACTTGAGCAATGTGGTGTGATCTGAACCATCGGCTACGTGAGAGTGTATTCAGTGTGTGTGTGTGTGTGTGTGTGTGTGTGTGTTTACTATAGGTGAAGAGTTTCTTCCTGCCCTGCTTTTTATGAAAACGAGCAAGAAGGCCGCACACTGAATTCAGTACAGAAGTCTGTCAAAACGTTTTTCTTTTTTTCTGGATTGCATAGAGAATTAAAAACAAATGAACAAGAGCAAACGCTTCAGCACATTGCTATCTTCAGTGCTCTCTGCAAATAAACATTCACCCTTTTGTTCATTAAATTAATTAGGAAAATAAGATCAGCTGTTTTATGAGCCTCACAGTTAATACCCTCACAGAACAGCTTTACATTCAAATAAAATAAAGTAAGCCAAACAGTCAAGCCAGATTCAGATTCAGAGGTCAATATTGACTCTCCCACACCTGAACAATCCCGAGATTAGGGGTACACACTACTTTATACACAACCTTAAGTTAGGAAAAGATGTTCAACTTTTTGTCCCGCATGGACTCGGTTAAAGTGTGTAGATTGTGGTTGGGACAATGTGGGTTAAGTTCTTTGTGCATTGTGGGAAAGCATGTTTGGCTTGTATGAGTGTGGGAGTCATGTTTCCGAAAATCTAGAAGGCAGAAATAAATATATTCTTTGTTAAACTGGCAGCACTTGGAATTAAGGCTTTTTATCTTTTATCTTTGTTTGGACACAGTGACGATATAATCTGATCTCCAGGCCAGATTCAGTTCTTGTATAACACAGGATTTCTTTGTAAAAATTCAGTTCACACTTTGACCAGTGGAGGGCAGGAGTAGGCAGCGTCTACACTGCTGTAATACTCCAAGAAGAAGGTCTACACTCAAAAAAATGAACTAGGGAGGTTGTGCACTTTACATAATATATATATATATATATATAGTTTACTTATAACAATTGTGTTTTTTGACTTTAAATGTTTTTTTCTTTCTTTCTATTTTTGGTCTATGTAATTGTGTCTCAACTTAACAGTACAAAATCCTAATGTGTTGTCTAAACACAAACCATTTAAAATGTGTACATCCAGAGGGTGGCAGTATAGTGCGAGCCGACTGCCATTTTGCCCGAACTTAATTTTATTGTGTTCTTTTTGTCTGTTTTTCTACCTGCGGACTGTGGAGAACCAGCCTTTTCTCGCCAAGTTCGACTCAGGAGAACGAACTCCCGTGGACGAGAGGACGCAAGTCCGGTATATTTAATGTATTGGTTAACTTTCAATGTACATCACTCTCCTCACAAACCCATCAACCAGACTGAGCCAACAAAGACTCGTTAAGGTTAAAGGTATAGCGGAGGATCTTTCCGAATTTTAGAGAAGACCCGCCCTCTCCAATTTTTTTTAAAAAAATGCACATGCACAAACACAACACTCTTGCTCCCGAGAGCTAGGGAACGTCTATACGCCTTGCACAATTATGTTGCAAAGTCTAAACTAACTAAAAAACATTCATAAAAAAGACAACATGTCAAATGCCCTTCCGTGTTTTATTTACTTATTATACTGATCGATTGAGTGACCGAGTTAACCCTTTATCACACGAAATACGTTCTGAGGAAACTATTTTGCAAATCGCAATTACGTTACATAGCAACATATAAGCAGTGCTATTACGTTGGTCCTTAACCTAATATCTCTCATTGTTAATACGTTATTTTTATACATAGTTGCATATGGAGAAGTAGCTTGTTGCATTTGTGTAATAATAAACACACAAGATTTTAGAATATTTCAGCGTGATACATTACCATTTTGGACAAAAGGCTACTTTAGACAAATTGAGATGTTTACCGTGTCTATGCGGTGCATGACTCGTGCCAGGGCTAGCATTGTAGCTTGCATTAACTTTTATATAGGCCATAAGGTGAAGACGTTTTACGTTTAATCCCGTTCCCATATATGGGGCACTAAATTGTTTTAATTCTAATAAAATTATCTATTGTTTCTGGACGAGAAAATAAAAGTTCTCCAGGTGCAATCCTGCAGTTTATTTTTTATTACTGTTTAAAGTCGGCAATAGTTCTTTCCTTGCGCAATCATATTTTGATCATCAGTGATGAGGCTTCGCGGAAGAATCATCACGTGCTTCCCGCTAGACCAATGAGGTGGCTGCTTTTTTGGGATGACAGGTAAACATTAGTCTAATATGTCTGCGCCCCTGTTATCATTGTCGAGTAGTGAAGACGAGGAAATTTCACCCAGACCTCCTTCAAAAGTCCGTAAAAAGCATTTTAAACAATGTTATATGCATCTCACCTCCATAAAGAAAGAGGAAATAAAGGATTTTACACGCACACGGTGGGATACACAGAAACTCCGTCAAACGGTGGCTTGGTCTGCACGGTGAGAATCAAACAATTGCAGAAACATACAAACATTATCTAGAAATAGAGTTTGACAATGTTCCCGAAGACGCTGGGTTTCACTCTACTTGCTACAGGCGTTTCATTGATAAAAAGCGCTTGGATGCGGCCGAGAAACGCGCTACACAGCGTGTCGAGGTTTAAGATCATGGCCAGTCTGTGGCATCGGGTAGTAGTAACGTTAGTATCACTACAGTTCAATGTCCAACAAAGACACTTAGGTCCAAGACTGGCCTGCCAGTAGCTTGTGCTGGCCCTGTGCTTCCTGCCTTGTGCATAATTTGCAAGAAACGCCAGAAGGACCATCTTTCACAGGCAGAAACATTGTCAGCAGGTAGGTAAAAACAAAACGCAAACAAACTAACACATACACACGTTTGAAGTTTTATTCCCTTATTCTGGGTACCATGGCTAACTTTCAATTACAATGACTTAATTTATGTAAAGTTTATTTTACTATCAGAGACATATTTGCATGTTTCTCCATACAGCTACAGCCAGAAAACTCAATGATGTTTAACTATTAACATAGTTTTTTATTAGTTTTCATTTATTTGTTCACAGGCGAGTTGCTGAAAGCTGCTGAGATGAAGGAAGACACTAGCATTCTTGTGCATATTCGTAACAAAGACTGTGTGTCTCTGGAGGTGCGATACCACAAGTCCTGTTATAGACAGTACACCAGGTTCTTGACAAAGTCTAGTGCATCAGTTACTGGGACCTCAGAAGAACAGTGAGTTATTCATATTTTATTTTATTAAATGTTTCCCTCACATTTGCACATTTTAAAAGTAAAGCATTGACCATAAATGCTTATATTATATTGATCATTAAAGTACATTTTATCTTATCTTATCTATATTGTCGATTTGTCTGTAAACACAGTCTTGACTAGTGAGACCTGTAATTCAAAATGCTGGAAAAAAAAAATCTCAAATCACTTTGTCAGGTTTCTATTTGCTATTATTTATACAACATTTAAAATTGAAGCCATTGTGCATTAGTTTTGGCACATAAAGTAATACATCTTTTCTGTTTTAATGTGTTTTCTTTTCAGAAATGAGCCAACCTTCGATGCCAGCTACAAGATCTTCTGTGAGAGGATCATTCGCCATAAAATAATTGTAAACCAAGAGGTGCTGACAATGACTCAGCTTAGAAGGATCTTTTTAAATCTGGTGGAAAAGCATGAAGATCTTGATGCTTCTAACCACAGGTAATTTGAATACAACAAGTGTCTTTGGAATCTTTGGAAAGAACGTTTATACAACATTCTTTTTGAAAAACTAAAATTTAATTCATAATAATCATAATCATAATCTGTAATGTGTAGAATCTGTTAACAGTGTATCGTTACTTTTAAATAATTTAACAAATTCAATTTGAATATATCTTTATTCATACCATTTTGATCATCTTTCACTCTTATCGTTTTGATTCAGGCAGGATAAATTGAAGAGGAGGTTGATCCGTGATTTCCCCCAGCTGGTGTTTCACTCCCCCAAGAAGCGCAACATAAGTGAGATGGTTTTCGTTGAGACATTGTCTGCAGATAAGCTGATAGACAGACTACCTCATCCATCAGGTACAGAAACAACAGAGTCAACTGAGGTAACTAGCCAAAGTGACTGTGAAAACAGGTATAGTGCAAAAGCTGGTCCACAAAGACCAACTTCAATGGCCTCCATCAATACTGCAGAGGACACAAGGACACTTTACAGTGCGGCATTAATATTAAAGATGCTTCTGTGTGACTCTCCCGGTATGAAATGCCCATGGCCACCCACGTCAGATGACTTAAATGTGAGCGAGGCTAAATCTGCCGTGCCAATTGAACTGTACAATGTGATTTCATGGATTATTGGTGCAACTGAGGAACCAACACTGGCCCATTATGTTGATATTCCTGCCCCTGAAAGTGTGTTGCAGGCAGTCCACTGCAGTTGCAAGCAAAGCAAATGTGAGACTGGGAGATGTTCCTGTATGTCTGCAAGACTGTCTTTATACTGATTTATGTCGGTGCCAAAATTGTGCAAATGTTTCACAGGAAACAGAAGAAAGACCTACATCGGATGATGCCTCTGACAGTGATAGGGATGAGTAAATATCCACTGTGTTATATTTTAAGGTGCTTTTGAGCTTTAAAATATCTGTTGTCGAATTGTAAAAAAAAAAAAAAAAATTGGCAGCATTAAAAAAAGGGGGACAGTGAAGCATTTCGAATCATTTTAGCCAACTATGGCCAAAGTGTGCTTATATTAGTATATTTCTGTAATTGCACAGTACCTACTGAACATTTTGATGTATAAAACATCACAGTTTTGATAAATTTACTATGTTTATGTTCAATTTTGTTTAATGTCAGTCTGTGAAGTTGAAGCATTTTTTCCACAAATGTGCCATATTTCATAGTCTATATTCAATCTTGACTATATAATCCACCAAAACCAGTCTCAAGTGTTTAGGTACATGGATAAATGTCAGTTTGAGATATATTTTGTGTTGCTAAAATGTATATAAATAAAGTTACAAACAAAATCAGAAGCATAAGATTTTCGTTTTTTCAAATTCACAATTATAAACATTTATGGATTGTGACAAAAAACTGCAGGGTATTTTGCGGAGAACTTTTAACACAAAGTCGATAATGGTATTATCTATGCAAAAATCAAATTAAAAAGTAGTGCCCAGGTGTGGGAACGAAAATCAGTTTCTAGCCACTTTTTCCTAGTTCACCTTATGGCCTATAAGCCCCCTTAACAATTTCACATGCCCCCTCAGTCATTTCATCCTGTAGCCGGTCCTGACGCCAGGGAACACTCAAAGTGTGCAAAAGCCAGGAGAGAGGGTTTGCAAAAAGTAGCAGACAGTTTGTAGTGACCATGTTAGATGTTTTTATGACTTATTACAGTATTTATATTTTAATAATTTCAAGTTCTTTGTTCATTGTAATGTCAGTCACCACCCACTACAGAACAAGTAAAAGTGAAGGACTAGAATATTCTACATAATGGTAATTTGTACTACTTAAACTAATGTCTTTTAAAAAGGCACTGTTAATAAATGTTTGCCTATAAAAGCAACCAAGAAAAAGGCTGAGAAAAAAGAAAAAAAGAGGAAAACAAACAGGTGGTGGTCCTGCACCCAGGCAGAAGAGCTGGCCCTTGGGTTGAATGTGAACCGAATGTGTAAAAAACCCGTTCGTAGCCTATTTTAGCATTCTCAATGTTTTTACTTCATGCTGATCAGTTCGGTGGTGATCAGATAAATCCCCTATGAGAACATGCTTTTTTCAAACAACCCACAATAGCCGACTTCCTTTTGGGTGGGCACACGGCACTGAGCGCAAAAGTTGTTCGGCCAGAGCCCAGAGGAGATCCTTAAAGGTATAGCGGAGGATTTTCTTTTTCCGGGTGGGTAGTCTATACTATTGGTCCACCTAAGTGTCAATCATTCTAGTGATATGTTTACGTAAGGCCGTCGTAGGCTACGTGCTCATCCCTATGTAAAATTACTAGTAATTACATTACAATGAACAAAGAACTTGAAATTATTAAAATATAAATACTTTAATAAGTCATAAAAACATCTAACATGGTCACTACAAACTGTCTGCTACTTTTTGCAAACCCTCTCTCCTGGCTTTTGCACACTTTGAGTGTTCCCTGGCGTCAGGACCGGCTACAGGATGAAATGACTGAGGGGGCATGTGAAATTGTTAAGGGGGCTTAACTTTACACCATCAATGATACACACCTCTCTTTGGAACAACATATTTTAAAATGCAGCGCACCATAACCCAACCTCTTAAAATAGCTTACTGAAGGGATTCGAACATTAACAGTAGCAACTCTTATATAGGCTAATCGTAGTGGTGTGTGTAGCCAACGTCGACGCGAGCGATCCAGAATCTGTTTATGCTGTCTAGGCAACACTGGATTGGAAAACGAGACACGATAATCCTCGATAGAAAACGTATGAACAGTTCTATTTCTGTTGTAGCCTATGTTCAACACTTAGCATAAAACAAAGGAAATATAATTTGCAACGTTCTCGCGTGCAGTTTGACAGTTTTGAGCTTTTGTAGCACTGTAGACGCGGTGTTGGTGATTAATTAAAAGTATTCACTAAAAGAGGTCTATTGTCTATCATATGGAAGAAAAAAAAACATCTGTAAAAGGAGGGAGGGGTTTAATCACCAACTGTAGTGGAGTTTCAGTAAACCGCTCCATTAGACCGGCAGCACTGTTAACTTCAGCTCATCCAACACGTTGAACGCTCATCCAAAGAAAATATTTGACATGTTGATATTCTGTTTGTGCTTGTGGAGTCTGAGTGGTAAGTATTTTATGCCTTTGTTGTTAGTGTTTATAACATCTTTGTCAAAACGTACGGACCTGTTTTCACGACCCATGTTCATGTTTTATTATTAGACTAATAGGCTAGCCTACTCAAATATCTCTGTTAAGTAGATATTATTATTAGGCTATTATTCCAAAAAAAAAATCATTAATGTAATGAACCCTTTACAAAAAAGAATTGAAGTTTTTTAGAAGTAATCAGCAGTTTTTGTTACACATAGAACAATGCAGTTTTTTGAAAAAAATAAATAAAATGCAATATTGCAATAGGCATAGCTGGAGTCCTACAACTGCAGTTTTACTGCAATACAACTGAAGTAGTACTTCAATAATACTGCAATTTAACTGCAGTATTTCTGAAATTAACTCTTTCCCCGCCAAACACGGAATTTTCCGTGTTTAATGAAAAAACGCATCTGCGCCAAACACGGAATTTTCCGGGTATCCGTGTTTTAGGTGGTATACGGTAAGGAAGACCCGCGCGCATGTCCTGAATGATTGCGCAAGTCTTTGATCAGAGAAACAGATCGCAATCGTCTCAAACAGTGGAGTAGTGAGAATGTATCAGACAGACAATGCAGAGGTATATGGCTGAAGTACTGGAGGTTAATGGACTCGGAGTCCGATCACTCTTTATTTGATAATTCTGAATCTGATCGGGACGAAGTAGTCAGTGAGAGAGATGCACATGTTCATGCTAGCCATGGACGTGCCGCAGATAGATCGTATAATATTATGACACTATAATATGTATGTGTGTGTGCAGGCATTTATGTGTGGCTGTCTAAATATGAAGGTGTAATTGTCAAATTATTTCTCTCTTTGTGCACATTTACCACATTGTAATATGTATTTGTGTGTGTGTGTGTGTGTGTGTGTGTGTGTGTAGGCCTGTTTATTGTAATTCCAATTATTCATTATTCACAGGTAGAACACAGAGAGGCAGAGGCAGAAGTTTTATTGCAAAAGTTACATTTCCCTTACATCCTGGGAAATTTGATATATTTTACATTTATTTTATGTTTTTAATTTATTTTGGAAAGTTTTATATATGAAGGAAACAACATCTGAATGTATTCTGCTTTTAAATGCACTTGTTTGATAAAAATACCTTTTTCTCAGTTTTTTGTCCAAAATGTTGTGTTTTTGACAAAACCTACCTCTGTTCAAGAGGCAATAAAAAAAGAACAGATGAAGATAAAATAAAAACGTTTTTTTTGCCTAAAAGCAGAGGCTCAGATCTTTATTTTTATATATATCATCTTCATATATTCATGGAAGAAAATATTCAGCGGGGGCATTCAAATTTAGCGAAAATCGTCAAAAACCCTGGCGGTGGCTGGCAACTTTTTTTTAAAACGCTGGCGGGGAAAGAGTTAAGTACAACAATACTGCAAAATAACTGCAGTATATTTCTGAAATGAAGTAGTACGACAATACTGCAATATAACTGCAGTATTTCTGATATGAAATAGTACTACAATAATAGTTCAATACAAGGTATCTCTGCACTGATAGTACTACAATAATACTGCAATATAGGCCTAACTGTGGTATTACTGCAATACTACAGCTACAATTACAATATTACAGAACGCAATCATAAAATGCTTTACAGTACCTTTGACATATACCTATCCAGAATAAGTTTTTTCCACACACCTGCAATATTATGAATTAAGATACAAAACAACGGTGAATGTCTCAAACTGCAATGCAATGCAACAAATGTGTTTTTACTTTTTTTAACTTCAAATAACAATCTGAGAGTATACATAACAAGCATGTATGTATTTGTGTATTTAAGTAAGTATTTAAAGTGTTTATTTACAACTCATGCATAGCCTATATATCTTAACCCACATTAGAAGCTGCGTCTTTTGAAGAGCTTATTCTCATTATTCCACTTTGTTCTTTGAACTGCCTTCATCTCAGATATGGAAACATTTTGGATGTAGTCTCGAAAAACAAACAAAAAGAATTAGAGAGACTCTTTTCAATTACACTCTTCACCACAGGCATATAGGCTATGCTTAAAATGAATCTGCAAGTTAATCTCTTAAAGGAACATGCCACGGTTTTGTTTTAAATAGGGGTTATTCTATGGAATTAATATTGGGCCATAATTAAACAAATCCATCATTTTGCAAACAAACTCGATCTGCTTTGCAAAGGAAAACTCGACTCGCAAACAAACAGAAAGCAAGGTGCTATTACAAAGGTCAATTTGAGCAAAAATGCAGTGTGTTTTGCAAATATAAATAAAATGAGCCTAGATAATATTTCACAAATACATACAAACCATCCTACAAATTGCATGTAACCTTGTAAACAGCAGATGGCGCTAAGCCAGGGGGTTAATTTAGCCTAGTCAGGGAGAAACACTGATTTGAATCGCGTGCTTGCATTTGCATACATACAGCTGTGGAAAATGACCAGTGAACAGGTGTGTCTCTGTCTCACTTTATCTATAATTACAGTTTTTCTCGATTGTTTACACACATTTTCTGAAAATATGCCTCATACTCTCAGAACTCTACACACAAATCTAAAAACACACACACAATCGGCAAAACCCCTCAATTCTCTTGCAAAATGAAACTTTACATTCAAAACAATGTTATTTCTTCTCAAAATGGTGTTTTGTTTTCAAATGACACACACAAACCATCATATGAATAGACATTTAAAATAACCAGTTGAACACTGATGTGCTCAATGTAAAACACTATGATAGTTGCATATGGAGAAGTAGCTTGTTGCATTTGTGTAATAATAAACACACAAGGTTTTAGAATATTTCAGCGTGATACCATTTACCATTTTGGACAAAAGGCTACTTTAGACAAATTGAGATGTTTACCGTGTCTATGCGGTGCATGACTCGTGCCAGGGATAGCATTGTAGCTTGCATTAACTTTTACTAGTGATTTTAAATGGATTTCTCCAAATAGCGTGACAAACTTTACCTGTCTGGTAGAATCTTCGCGACTGTGGCATCAGTGAGAAGCCCAACCTGTGCTTTTAGTGCACGCCAGCATGTGATATTCACCCAAAATCTCTCTGGTCTTGTTTCTATATTCTGCGGCCTTTCTCTTCTTATCATACAGTTGGTAAACATTTTTTCTCTTTCGACCCTCAGCCATTTTCAAAGGAATGGCTGAAACCGTAACTCCGACATAATACACATGAAAGTGAAAACTACATAGGGATGAGCACGTAGCCTACGACGGCCTTACGTAAACATATCACCAGAATGATTGACACTTAGGTGGACCAATAGTATAGACTACCCACCCGGAAAAAGAAAATCCTCCGCTATACCTTTAAGATCTGGGGTTTGAGCCCCCTGACACACAAAGCGAAACGCGCACGTGATTGGACAGAAAAAGTGAGGCTCGTTTGTCATCGATCACGTGACTCCGGGAAACCAACACCTCGACCGGCGTCTATGAGCCCGAGACGGGGTCATTTGCGAAACGCACATCCAAGCCTCAGTCTCATACGTAACATCACTATCTCTCACACAAACCGAATATAACCATTATGTCATCTAGCCCACTCGCATTGTGATTTCACTATAGGCGACGTTACACACTAGTCCACTATGGAGGCTCCTATGTTAATCTCACTGCGTTTTCTTTAATACAGAAGAACAGAATGATCCGAATCAAAACGTGCTGCAAATGAATCTTCTCTTTTATTCGCTCTCGGTGGTCTTCATTTTACTCGACAATGGTAAGAACTTGTTACAATCTCTCTCTCTCTCTCTCTCTCTCTCTCTCTCTCTCTCTCTCTCTCTCTCTCTCTCTCTCTCTCTCTCTCTCTCTCTCTCTCGTCCTCTAATATAAAGGGCGCTTAATATTAAGCATGTAGGTAGCAATATTCAATTTGAAATGTGATATGTAAATGACAATGCAATATGTGAAATGGCATTGCATTCTGTTTTTAAATTTACATTTTACATTCTAGCAACGTTTGGTGCAAAATGAAATTGAGATTACATAATTTGCATTTGCCATTTCATGCACTAGTTTTAATAGCCTATGCATATTGAAAAGCTTAATAAGTTGCAAAATGAAAATGCATTACAGAAATGAAATGATGTGTAACATGTTCAAGAAAAAACTGTGGCAAAAGAATATCTTCGGAAATACCGGTCATACTAAATTGGTCACGGAGGTATTTGCCATATCATACACTAGTTTTAATATTGAAACGCTTTATAAGTTGCAAAATGAAAATGAAACTGCATTGAGGACAGCGGGGAGAATCATAGGGACTAACCTACCAGAGATAAATATTGTTTACACCACCCGCTGTCTGCGGAGAGTACGTAAAATTCTGCGAGATCAGTCGCACCCAGCGCATCACCTGTTCCATTTGCTGCCCTCAGGGAGACGAGACCGGGCCTTGAGAGCAAGGGCCACGAGACTGGCCAACAGTTTTTATCCCAAAGCTGTGAGACTGTTGAACGAGCATTGCTCTAATTTACAAGCACCCCCCCCCCCCCAATATTTAATAATCAATGAATTATATTTCTCTCCACACAACTTTAATAGTTGGGAACTGGGGTATGCATTATGCATTTTGCGTATGTCAACAAATGGATTGCACTTTTGTATACTTTTTACTGCACTTATACTGTAGGACTCTTTGATGTTATTTCGTTGTTATTTATAACAATGACAATAAAGAAATGAAATTACAGAAATGATGTTTCTCTGTTCCCGCTCCTCTTCATCTGCTAAAGAATTTAACACTCGTATTATCCTATGGTATTTATCTCTATGGTATGAACATTTGAATGATCATTTTGCCACGGTTTTTTTCTTCTCTTATCATTTCTGTAATGCATTTTAATTTTAATTTACCAACTTATAAAGCGTTTCAATATGTATATTAAAACTTTACTAATGTAAATTATGTAATTTATTTTTAATTTTGCACCAAATGTTGCTAATGGTAATGTAATGTAGAATGCAATGCCATTTAACACATATCATTGTCATTTTGCATTGCTACCCATTTGCTTCCAAAGCTTAAGGGTGCACGGTCATCACAGTTCAATACTCAATACTTCAATGTCACTTTGAAAAGACAACTTTGACAGAAAAACAAGCTGGTCCAGACCAACTCACAGATTTTTTTTTTTTTCATCACATTGATTTTTTTGGTAAATTTTAGGTCTCTTTTCTCAACATTTGATAATGTATTAACTAACAGGAACTAACAATGAGCAATACATTTGTTGCAGTATTTTTTAATCTTACTAAATTTTAGTTAATAAAAATCCAGTTGTTAATAATTTTGTGTTCATGTAATTTCACAGTGCATTACTGTTGAAATAATGTTAATACATGCTGTAGAAGTATTGTTTGTTCTTAGTTCATGTTAACTAAAGTAGTTTACTAAAGTTAAGTAGTTTATTAATGTTTCGTACATTTTCCTCTGTCTTATTTAAATGGGTCATGCAGGTGTCCAAAATTTCATTGAAACTGGTAAATGAACTCATTAGCTGTTTTTATGAATAACCAGAAGTCAAGGTCAAGCAGATGTTCTTTAACTTTTCCTGTTCTGCAACAGATTGTTCGATAAGCCACATTCCCACCTATTAAATTATTCACCAGCCGCCACTGCGTCAACGCTACACATTTGTACAATATCAGAAGGGTAGGCCCTACTAGACGTATGGTAATAATATACATTAGTCCTCTTCACGTGTCGGTCAAAAATGACTGAAATTAGTTTTTTTCCAAATGAAAGTGAAATTAATGTACTATATTTCAGTCAAAAAAATTATATTGAATATTTTGTATTTTTAGGGGATTTCATTGTACTGAATTATATTTACGCTGTATTTATAATTAATTTGTTCACTCTTTGAGCGTAGACCAATTGTTGTAATTCTTGAATGCTTTAGTTCAGAGCACAGACTTTTTTCAAGAGAAACATTTTTCAAAGACGACACTAAGTGAAAAAAGTGAACTTTGTTGAAACAGTGAAAAGTTACAGAATTTTACGTTTACTGTTATAAAAAATGTGCAGAAATACTATTTTCAATTTTCAAAAACATGTTTTACTCTAAAACTGAGAAAATCAAAGCCTTAAATCTAAACAAGTTGTGTTTAAAATATGAGACGGTGCCAAAAGTTAACTCTAGATAGAGTTCTTCTCCCATTCATTTCCCTGTTAACCTGTTGGAATCGTGTCTTTTGTGTGTGTTCACATAGCAAGTGCCAAAACCTTTACCAAGTTTCGTACCATTCCAAAGAAGAAAAAAAAGGCGTTTATTCTTCTTTAAAATGTGGGTTCTGTGTCAGAATGTCTGATAATGTTTTGGTCTGTGGGATTCTGCCCAGTAGTATTTCGACAGCTCGGGTTGCCAGTTGGTGGAAAACACTCAGTAAAAAACGCAGTGTCAAATTAAAACTTTAAGTGTGAAGGAATACAAATTTATTAAATGTTTCATAAAGGTTTAACAGTATTTTCAACTGAAAAATGTATACAGTGTTTACCATTTTGAGGCCAATAAGATTAAGCCAAGCATTCCAGCTGTCACACATTAGCTTTTGTCTTTATGCGCTTCCTGGCCATTAAGTTCAAGATTCAGCTTTGCTTTTGTAATGGTAAAAGTGTGACCACGCTGGTCAGGCTGATTAGATTAATGTCTCTGATTATCTGCTGAATCATTTACATTTGCTTTGTTTCAAGAGACCCCTCCTCAATGTAACTCCTCCAGATTAGCATCTCAAGGCACAGAAAACTGCTATGCTGATGAACTGAGGTGCCTGTTGAATCATATACATTTACTTTTGTTTCAGTTTCTCCCCCCTCAATGTAAACTCCTCCCCTCTAAATGTATAAATTGTAAGGGAATGTTTTCCCTTAGTTAGACTTACTTTGAGATGACTACAGCGACGCAATAAAGAACTTCTGCGTGAAAGAGACCTCAAAAGTCTCCTGAGTTGCTAACTTTTCTACAAGGAAAGAAACGTTTCCTACAAGTGTTAATTTTAACTACTCCGGATCATATATGGTCCCACTCTATCTAGAGTAAAAAGTACACTGTTTGTAGAGTAGAATTTACTGTGTTAATACAACACCGTACAATGTCGAAAAATTACACTGTGAGTGAGTGTTAAGTTTTACACTTAAAATTTTTACACTCTGTGGTTTTAACACCCCTGGTGTTGATTCAAATCCATTAGATTTTACACTATAAGTGTAGTTTATAAAAGTATTCTGTTCAGTGCAAAACCTATTTATACTGTTATATAGTGTTACTGTAATGTACAAGCTTAGACATAATAATAATATTAATAATTCTTGAATTTATTCAACAAATGGCAAAGTGGCTCCTTTAAAACATATGCCATATGTGAAAAAGTCAAATTGTCACATTCTTTAGGAGTTTAGCAGAAAAAAAAAGAGAAAAGGGAAAAAGCATAAAATCACCCAGTTTGATATTTCACAGTCATGGAAGCCAATGAACAAACCGGGTCAGAGATCACAGATCCTACCCGACTAAAAAAGCCTCAGTATCCATAGAGAACCGGTTCAGATTCGCCAGTACATTTGTGTTTTTTCCTTCTTAGTGCGATTGAATGGTTTAATAGCATTAAAATGAATTATAGCACCATCATATGATGTATGATAGCCAAAGGATGCCAAAACAGATGCTGTTATACAGTATACTTGTTATACTGAACCAATAAATCACATACTTTAAAGTGTTGACTAATGTAACTTGAATCTAATATGAGAAAAGCTTCTTCCAAATTAAAATTTAATATAGCTAAACACTATTGATGTGGGAGATTCAAATTCAGATTAAACTATATTGTGAATTTGTTAATATATGTTCATTTCTTCTCCAGGTGTGTCCGGTGTTGGATCCGATGAAGTGTCAGTGATGGAGGGAGATTCAGTCACTCTATACACTGGTGTTCAAACAATCAAACAATATGATATTAAATGGTATTTTAATGACATTCGTATTGCTCAAATCAATGGAGATCTCAGTAAGTTCTGTACAGATGTTCAGTGTAATGAAGGCACTGAGATATTCAGAGACAGACTGAAGCTGGATCATCAGACTGGATCTCTGACCATCATGAACATCATAAACGCACACTCTGGACTTTATGAATTGAAGATCATCAGCAGCAGAGTCAGTGGAAATATCTTCACTGTTTCTGTTCATGGTGAGTTTGTGAATGTTATGTTTAAACTGATATTGACATCAGCAAACCGCTCAACCACAGAAAGCCACACACGCGGTCTGCCATCTGCCCTCTACAGTGAAAACCGGGATTCATCCTTGAAGAGAACAAGTCTCCAAAGTGCCGAACGCCATCGAATGTGATTTGCCACTCAAGTCAGTAACGACGACAAACTCAAGTCATGTCGAGACACTGATGAGGGCAATGAGTATGCAGATGAGCTTCCCTGAGACGGTTTCTGACAGTTTGTGCAGAATTATAATTGGTTTTGCAAACCGATTGTTGCAGCAGCTGTCCGGCCGTCTGGTCTTAGACAATCTTGTAGGTGAAGATGCTGGATGTGGAGGGCCTGGGCTGGTGGGGTTACATGTGGTCTGCGGTTGTGAGCCCGGTTGGATGTACTGCATATATTCTCTAAAACGCTTATGTTAGAGAAATAACATTCAGCTCTGGTGGACATCCCTGAGGTCAGCATGATAAATTGCACGCTCCCTCAAAACTTGCAGCATCTGTGGCATTGTGCTGTGTGTTGAAATGGCACATTTTTAGGGTGGCCTTCTATTGTGGTCAGCCTAAGGCAATAATCCTGCTGTCTAATCAGCATCTTGATACGCCACACCCGTGAGGTGGATGCATCTAGGCAAAGAGCTCACTTTTGTGTACATAGAATAAGTCTTAGGCCACGTCCACACGGACACGGGTATTTTTATACGACTTTTGACTTTTTTACGCGGTTCAGCCGTTCGTCCACACGGAAACGCAGGACACTGAAACCGAACATTTTTGAAAACCCCTGCTAGGGTGAGGATTTTGGTGATGTTGTCGTGTTTTTGCCTTGTGACGTCAGAGAGTGCGTCTGCGCTGCGCCGTTATCTGCCTACTTTAACCTGTAATAACTTATTGTTAGGCTTCTGATTGGCTAAAGTGGCTTTACGGTTAGGGTTATATCGCCGCCTGCTGGTGTGGCATGCTCTTTACAGCGCTTGATGGCGTGTTTTTGCGTTTTTCATGTGGACGGATTTTTTTTTTTAAACGCTGGAGGAAAAAATACAGTTATAAAAATACCCGTGTCCGTGTGGACAAGGCCTCAGATCTTTGAGTTTAGCTCATGAAAATTCACTAAATTAAATGAATCACTTTTTACAACAAAAATCTAACTTTTTAAGGACTGTGTTGCATTATTTTCCTGTTATCTCTGTAAAGCTGCTTTGAAACAATCTGGATTGTAAAAAGCGCTAAATATAAATAAATGTTACTTGAATTGAAATAAATTTTTGTTGTTTTCATCTTAAGAACTTTAATCATCTGTTGGTTTGTGTTTCAGGTGTTTCTGCTGCTGAACGAGATGAAGTGAAGAGAAAGTCAGTGAAGGAGGGAGAATCTGTTGCTTTACATCTTGGTGTAATAAGAAAACCAAGTGATGTGATGATGTGGTATTATAAGGACACTCTCATCGCTGAAATCACTGGAGATCAGAGTCAGATCTGTACAGATGTTCAGTGTAAAGAGAGATTCAGAGACAGACTGAAGCTGGATCATCAGACTGGATCTCTGACCATCACACACACCACAAACACACACTCTGGACTTTATAAACTACAGATGATCTTCATCAACAGAACCTTCAGCATCACTAGAGTGAAGAGATTCAGTGTTTCTGTCATTGGTGAGTGTATAATTCAGCCATTAAATGCATTTTCTTTTGAGGAAAAAAAAACAGTTCAATATTTTTAATCAACCCAATAACTGTTTGACACTTTGACTAATGTTATTAACATATAAATGCAGTTTTCCAGTGATTATTGTAATTTTAACGGCTGTTGTTAAAATAAACAGAAGGTGCCATTTATAAGTTAATTCAATATCATACAACTGATGACCAGAAAGGTGTATGTGTAATATAGAAATGTGTAAATATGAGTCAAAGATATTATTAAATACTGGATGGATTATCAGTCAATCTCTAGTAATAATGTCTGTTTCTCTTCATCTGTTCCAGGGTCAGGTCTGTCTCCAGGAGCTGTAGCAGGAATATGTGTTAGTGTTCTTCTGCTGGTTTCTGTAGTTGTTGGTGCTGCTGGTGCTGTGATTTACTATCGTCACCACGGTACACATGCAGCAGTACCACAGGATGTAAGAATTACATATCAGATGATTTAACAAGAAATATGAGAACAATTCTATATATAAACATAAATGCAAACCTTGAATAGTATTTTTTGTCCTTTTTTTTTTTAACACTACAGTTCACCAGTGAGGCAGTCAAATTAATGCTCTCAAATTAACTAAATAACAATTCATATAAAAACACAGTGCAACTTTTGTCAGAGTTAGAAATCGCCAATATAACAGTTTAAACATTTTTTTTAATGTGATATTTAAATCAAAATACTTCAATTTTTGTATTACTGAAGTACAGGAGATGATAGTTTGTGCAGGTTTATAACTGAAAACCTCTGTCCATAAAACACAGTATTTTTGTGTTTGTGTAACTGAAACATCTATCCTTCTCATCACTTTAACCTTCTGTGAATCTGTGTTTTCTTACAGGAGGGTGATGCTGATGACCCACCACCTGATCCCAATGACATTCCTGTGGAGAACATGGAACATCCAGGTGATGCTGATGATCTACAACCTCATCCACATGACATTCTTTTGGAGGACATGGCACATCCAGACTCAGGCCGAGGCTCCCAATAAAATAATGTAACATTATTTATAATTTTGATGCATTGAAATGAACACTGAAGAGAATTTGGAAATGATGGAAAAACATCAGCTGAAACTCTTTAATTGTTACGATTCCAAGATTTCAGTGATCGGTACCAATACGAGTGAATTTGGCATTTAGCCTTAAACTCTACATGACTGTAGGGCTGAGCGAATATGGGTCGAAGTCTTGACCTCCCTACAACTTCAGAAATACCTCTAATGTGCATTAAATGTGACAAAATGACTTTTGTCATCACAGTTTACTAAAGCGTATCTAGTGAAAGGAACAGGCTTCTATTTGGGGAGAAGGTCCTTAAATACAGATCTTAAAGTATCAAGGTCCAATGATGCAATGTCTATTTGTGTGTACAAATGTATGTGTGGTATGTGCAATGTGCATGTCATGCGTGCAGAATGTTGGTCCTGGTACAGTCTGAAAACAAAATGAATCTAAATGTTCTTTCATTCTATTGAACCGTATATTTAAACACGTAACTTGACCCTTGTGCATCAATTAAAAAAAGTTACACATAGGTAAAAAGAGGACTAAAATGTCCATGTCAAAAAACTGTCATAATAATGTGACGTTTCGGAGCACAGACTTAAGTTTGGTATCATTTTAAAGAAGAACCTTTGCAGATTATTGCTGAAGTAAAAAAATAATAATGAGTAAATCCCCAAAAAATAAATCTAAATAGGTTGTCCAAATTTGAGGACGATATCTCAAAAAATGAGCTTTCGGTAACAGTTTGTTTGGGCGTAGTAACATATTTTTCCCACTGGGTGCCAGCAAAACCCCACTAGAGCTCACAGTGATTGGCTTTGAATTTGCAGTTTTTCTCACTCAGTATTACTAAAACACACATGCGCGCACACACACACAAATTTTTTTTATAACACACATACTAACCACACCCTAACATCCATACCAACACACCCACACAAATATCGTTGCATAATTTATCCAGTCGGCTCTATAGTATGCCGAAGCAGAAAACAGGAATAAAGCGATATTTGTTTTATAGGCCAAACTTTTTTTTTAAAATAGCACCATCTGATAAAAATAGTAAAAAAAAATTAAAATTTTGTAGCCTTGCCATCAGAATGAAAGCCTCTTAACAAAGATTTCATAATTTTATAGTTAACTGAACCGGGGATTAAAAATGGCAGTTTTAATGGGTTTCAATGGGGACGTTTTTGTCCAAAAGGTGCTAAGATGGAGTATTTTTTGTACCTAATGCAAAAAATATTTTTTTAAGAAAATGACGATGAAATAGTAAAATCCCAATAAAAATACACACCTGTGCCAATTTTTGTGATCAAGTGATCAAAAAAACAAAACAGAAAAGGACACAAATGCCCATAAGGATGCACAAGAGTTAAAGGTATACTTCTGCACTTTCGTTATCTAAACGTTCACGTTAAATCATGCTTTCCTTGTCATGATTCTGCCTTCTTGTCCTTGATTTTCTCTCGTCGTGAGGCAAGATCATGACAGAATCATGTTTTGTGTGCAAGCGCATGGCCTGTTTGGGCCATGTGCTTGTGTTGTGTTGTCTCGTTACATTACCCCCTTGTTATCCTCGTCTTGTCATTATTGTCTAGTCAGTTTTACCTGTCTTTGTCATTAGTGTTCCCCTTTATAATCCCCTTGTGTTTGCTGTCCTGTGTCGGTTCATTGTTTCATGTGTGACTTGAGTGATTGCTAAAAAGTGATTGCTGTGTCAGTGATTGCTAAACGTACCTGTGAGTACCTTGTGAGAGTCTTGTCTAGTGTTACGAGTTTCTGTTGTTAGTTTATAGTCTAATTTGTCAAGCGTTAAGTCTAGTTTAGTCATTCTGTATTCTGTCCATGCCCCCTCGTGGGTTTTATTTTCCCTTGTTTTCTGTATAATTAAACGTTGAGTCACTGCATCCAGTCTGCGCTTGGGTTCTCCTTCAATCCACATGACATTTCTATCAGAAAGACTTTTACTTTTAATAGAATAAAAATAATTTATTTTCCGTTTAGGCATAAATGAAGTGCGCAAGCAGTGATATGCTGTTCTCTTACGAGAGGTTCTCTCGTATTGCGTAAGCTAGCTTACGCTACGCTACGGGAAAGATTCATCTTTGCTGAGAAGTTGAAGCCAAAAAATTATTCCATAATTTTGTAATCATTGTCAACGCAGTCTCTTCTGAGGCAGACCATGAGCGGGCTAGCTAGCGGCTCATTGGTTCGCTCAGAGAGAATGCACGAACCTATGGGAGAGCGGCGCTGAGTCCGCGGCCAATGAGCGGACGGCGCTCGCTTACTGCGTCACAGCCCGCCAAAAGGGGCGTGGCTACAGTGTATAAAGGTCGCTCTCCCAGCTCGTTCGTTGATTTCTTATTCATTCAGCGAGCTACACGCCATCCGCTGTCTGGGAAGAAGCCGCCGTCGTTGAGAAGGCACCGTCTAGCGAGCTCCGGAGTCTGAGGAAGCCGGCCGTCTGCCACCTTCAGCCGCCCAGCAAGCTAGCGCCATCCGACGCGTATCCTTTTTACTATTCCATATTCCTAAAAGAGCCGAGCGTCTTTTTCAGATGCCTCGTATTTCCTGCGGCTCATGCGCGCTCTTCACTCGAGGAAGGAGACCGCTTCTGCGTCTCTGTTTCGGAGTGGAACACGCAGAGCTCGCCCTCGCCAACGGAGGATGCGACCACTGCGAGGACCTGCCTCCGTCTTCCCTGCGGGCTCGACTACAGGCAGTCAGAACCGCTCCCGCGCCGCCTCTCTCTTCGCCGCGGAAGAAGAAACGCCGCTCCCAGAGGCCGCCGGAGCCCCCTGCGGATCCATGTGGGCCGCCGCCGCCGCCCACCGACCGCTCTCCCTCTCCGC